TCTTGGCTCAGCTCCATTCGTTTCCTTTTTCTCCGTAAAACCTAATAATATCAGACTTGCGACAGTCCACCCACAATTTTCTCGTGGAATTCATTGAAATGTAAAAAAGTTAGCCGTGTTTATGGCAAGTGAAAAATAAAGACTACTAGTGGCCGTAATAAAAAAAACGTCGCTTATGAGGATCTTATAAGGAAATACAAAGAAATAAACCTGATGGCAAATAAAGAGTCTATTACAAAAAAAATTAACTCGTTGAGATCGGTTTGCAGAAAAGAGATGAAAAAAGTGTGGGCATCAGAAATCTCTGTTACTAAGTCTAGCAATTGACAGTAGGCTGAGGTGTCCATTCGCAAATAATCGCGCCAGTCATCAAGCTCGCTGCTCAGTTGTTTCAATAACGAGACGTGGAAATACTGGCTTCTTTTCAGAAGTCACTCCCTAGATTATCTGGTCATTTCTCTCTTCATCTCTTTTCCTCTCAGTCGTTGTATCCTTATAGTTGAAAAAATAAAAGAAGAAGCCCTGTTTCCTCCATAATAAAAAAATGTCTCCAAAAACAAACTTCACACAACTAGATGGTCTAGATTGGAACTGTAATAGAAGGCGGAAGGGAAAACACGTAGTGTGTATACACTGGACAAAACGTACGTTTAGTCGTACGTCTTGAATGCCCGACAAAACGCACAATAAGACCTAGCATGTAAGCCCGCCTTAATATACTAAGTGACATATAAATCCGAACACCCAGTTTAAATGGTTTTATTTTAATAAAATTTTGTATAAGTACTTAATGAAGCATAATACGTAAATGATAAAAGTTTCAAAATGATTTCCCTGCTTTAAAGCCCTTTGACCTTTAATATTATGTGTGGATGCACCCTGATGTGCTACGCATTCTCCAACGCACCTAGGCGTGCTTCTGATCAGGTTGTCAATGTCCTCCTGTGGTATCTCATTCCAGGCAACCACCAACTCCTCTCGAAGTGCTTCTAGAGTCTGAGGAGGACGTTGCAAATTGAGCAATCTCCTACCCATCATATCCCACACGTGCTCAATTGGGGATAAGTCGGGACATCTTGGTGGCCATGGTAACAATGTGACATCATTATGTTGAAAGAAGTCTATTGTGACTCTTGCAACATGTGGTCGGGCATTATCTTGTTGGAAAGTTGGATCTGCCAGGATGTCAAGATAGGGTAAAAGATGGGGTTCTAGAACTTCGTGGATATAACGCTGCGCGTTCATGTTACCTATGATGAAGATTAAATGTGACCTAGAACCATAAGCTATAGCACCCCCAAACCATAACTGCAACAGTGTGATGAACATGTCTTTCAACAAAAACTGTGGATTCCTCCTTTCACCACGTCGCCTTCTAACCCTGGCACGACCATCGTGCATGCCTAAACAAAATCGAGACTCGTCAATAAAGACAATACTGTTCCATTCCTGATCCCAGAGTGACCGTTGTCTGCACCACTCAAGGCGATTACGTCGGTGTTCTCGAGTTAAAGGGACGACCCAGTGTGGCCGGTGTGAAAACAAGCCAAAACTTCTCATTCGTCGGTAAACACTTCGCATGCCAGTAGGTCTTCCGTGTTCTGCAAACCATTCATTTGCAATGGACCTGGTAGCGGTCCCTTAAGGCCAATAACCTTAGGCGGCGATCTTCACGGTCTGTTGTTCTACGGCGGCGTCCAGTGCCCCTTGCTCTTTGCGTACGGCCTTCTCGAAGCCATGCCTGACAACACCTAACCACAGTGTCTACACTTCTTTACACTCTAACTGCAATTGCCCGAAAAAAAAATGTCCAGCTTCCCGAAGTCCCACTATACGGCCCCTATCAAACTCACTAAGTTGACGAAATCGTACAGGTCTCCGTACTCTAGGCATCGTAACCGATCGTAAAGGATGTCAAGAACCAAAATCCGCCAACGTTGATTCTTTACTGTGGCTGAAATATTCATTTTTAGAGCGCTAGTGAATTAAAAAAAAAATAAAAACCGGAATGTCCAACTGATAAGGCTGAAAATTTTTCACTTGTTATTTACAGTAAGATAAATACATTCGCCAACTTTTATTAAAATAGAACCTTTTAAACTGGGTGTTCGGATTTATATGTCACTTAGTATAATTCATGTAAAACGTATCGTAGAGAATGAAGATAGCTATCTCATTTCAATAGTTATTTACTTAACAAGTGCGGAAAATACACTTTCCGCAAGTGTTGGGTACGAGTATAAGATCTTTTCTAACAGCGTGAGGAAAGCATTTTTTCTTAAAAGGTACGTGAACTAGCTTATTTTTATAAGAGACAAAACGTAAAGTAAGTAATTGAATCATTTAAATAAAAAGAGCTGCGAAAAATTCTGTTATAGTTTATGTAGGTGTGGCGGTAGTTTTCACCTTTTTCGAACCCTTTCGTATTTTTTGTACAAGTTAAATATTGAGACGTCTAGCAATGCACATATGTTTTCATTTAAACTACCGGTTCCAAAAATATCTGAAAAAAGGTGTTCTGGAAAAAACTTTGACGCCCTCTAACGGACAGACGCAGCACTTATGAATAGAGGAAAATCATCTCCAATCGACTGATTTTGAGTCTAAAAATACGTAGTACTTCTATATTCTCGGAATATTGTGACATCCTTTAGATTGATACCACAGCAGTCACTGAGAATTTTATTGAAAATAGCAATGTCACTACTTACCCCGAGCGGGCGGCCATGGTAACACTCCTGATGGCACACTTTTTTAGGGACATGCCTCTCTCGCAAGAGGATCAGGTTACATTTTGTTCTATCTACATTTAAATGGCCAATCACGATCGATGGAGGATACATTTTCATAGTAAGCAGGGCCACTGCAGGCTTTGGGGCTTTGCTTTCTTTATATCCTATAACCTACTCTCGCTATCTTTGTGTACCTAAGGGGCAACCCCGCAGATTGAACGACTGCACATCAAAGGAAAAGGGACTATTCTCATAACATCATGACCAGAGAGGAGACAAGAATATTTATATGAAATGTTGGAAACAAAAATTAAATTATGAAATCTATCAGCTACTACGTCCCTTTATTCTGTTATTATTTTTAATACTTGGGTATCTGGACAAAGATTTATTATATTCAAACCATTCGTTTCTGCATATCTATACCAAGAAGAAATATCAAAAGGTGGTGTCGAGTATGTTGACCATGTACTTCCCACACTACGCTGTCATCAGTTCGTAGAGAATTATGTATGGCAAAAGTTAGCTACGAACATGTATAACAAAACATTAAATGACAAATCTTTGCAATGACCAACCTCGCGAGAATGACGATGTTGGCCTTCACCATGCAAAGTACCCACAGCCCACAGCAGTGCGGAAACGAGTGCCGACTGTGACGTATGACCACCGACAACTAAGCTTGTGCGTCGGGGACCACACCGCACGTATCGACACCCGACTGTAGGAAACATTTCTAAGTTTTAAGCGTATGAGCGTAGAATTACTGGGGCTGAAGGAAATTGAGGTATACTCACCCACACTCCCTGCAGCCCCTAATCTCCAATTTTTTGAGCAATTTTTAATATTTTTTAGCTTTTGCCTTTTTACTGCCGCCACTGGCTTTTGCTTTTTATCGAAATCCGAGCGGTACTTCTCAAATTATAGGCGGTTATGAGATTAGCAGACAAATCGACAGGCAGACAGACAGACGGAAATGAGTGACATGGTTTTTCGTGATGTACAGGGTAGCCAACTAAGAATGCGAGATACTGTATCTGGGAACCTACTCATCGTAGAGGCTTGCGGCAGAAAAAGTTCTTAATGAAGAAGTTTTTGAAATGGCCGCTAGGGGGCGTAACAGCAAGCTAGAATCTAAAAAAGGTATGTTCCGCTATATTAACATAGCAAAAAAATACCTGACCTTTAAATTCGAGGATAACATAAACCTTTGTTTTTTGACAATTTTTAAAACTCTAATGGCCGATTGCACCAATATTTTCTTAAGGATAGAATTACAAAGGAGACATTAAAATTTGAGGATCGCTTAAAATTTTCTGGGTTGCACCACCACATTCTGGGGTTTCCTCATATTTCCTTAACTAAGCTTTCCTTAAGCTTGACATCTCCACAGGAAGCTAGTGATTTTGTCATGTTATGATGCAGTTGTCTGCCCTGCCTGAAAATAGTAGATGTTTTGTGCTGAAAATGACATTTCACATGATTTCACATATCCACATTGAGGTTATGTTGTAACGTAAGGTGGTGCTGCAATTTTTGGAAGAATGTTTTATTTTTGCAAAGTTTTATATTGTGGATCATGAGTGCTGCCGAAAAAAGGAAAAGGGGTGCCAATTTTACAACAAGTGAAACTAGAGTACTTCTATCTATAATTACGGAATTTAAAGGGATCATGGAAAATAAAAAAACAGGCGTGGAGTAAAATTACTGCGAAATTTAATGCAGCTTGCCTTGAAGGGAGGCATCGAACAATGGACTCCTTGAAAAAGCTATTTGACAATAAAAAAAGGGAGCTGCGGAAACCGAAGGCAGAAATACTTAAAACTGGTGGTGAGCCTCCACAGAGAACTGGTAATACATCCCAAGATTTACTCTTTTCCATAGCGGATCCACTCATTGTTGTTGGTATAACAACTTCATATGGGTCAGGCAGCAGCTTTCTGCTTTATGAGAAAAATCAAGACCCCTTGGAATATGAAGTAAAGGCCATTGAACATGTAGGTCCCAATGAACATCAAAAGGAAAAGTTAAGTTTAAGTTGTAGCATTTGGCTAGTCAAATCACTACTATACTGTGATATTTTCAAAATATATTATTGTTTTGTTTTTTGATTAAAGTTTTTATACTTTAGTTTTGTTTGAAGACTGTAGTTTGTGATAGTTTTGTTTGAAGGCGATAGTTGTGATGTAAAAACAATAAAAGGGAAAATATAACAAAAATATTTTATTCCTCGCATTATAACTCGAGAAAAAGAAACATTCAAAGATTTCCAAAATAATTAATCATTTATTCTTGAGCAGTATTGACATTGTGATTCTGTATTGTAGGCATTTCAATATCCTGTGTTACAATTAAATAATTGAATTTTGACATAACTTGGGAATAAGTAAGAATAGTTCTTAATACCCTTCCAACAATTCTGCAAGCTGTACTTGCATGCATTCCCATAAAATAAGCAGTTTGCCTAATATGACCTGCACTGGCATAGTACCTTAAGCAGCATAGAAGCTGATTCATTGGTGAAATGCTGTGATTCCTAAAATGAATGCATTCATATAGATATTTGTCTTAGAAGTGGGTCAACTTATAAACCTGTCATGATGATACTCTAATTGAGATCATCTATTCAGTGGATCCATTTCTTCAGAGTAATTTGGCCGACTATAAGTGCGCCTGGGTAGTCCCATCACAATAATATCTACCAGCTCTAAATCATCATCCAGAATATCTGGTAAGTCGCCCAAATAATCCAAATATGAGTACTCCATTGTAACTCACACGAACACAATACAACCTTAATAGGGTGATATCTACACTTTACAGCTCAAGGTCCTGTTTGAGGTATCACATCAAATATAAAATGGAGTCGATCAAGACGAAAAAAAAAACAAGTCAATAACACCAAAAAGGCCTTCCTCAGAAAGCACTTCTACACCACACAGAGGAAAATATACAATGGAATTGTTTTGGTATTTGACAAAACTATTTGGTTATGTTTTCCCACGCACGATTGCCACGTTGCAGGTCCAACGACAATCATTTCGCCGGTTGGTAGGAGAAATGTCGACAAAATAGTCCCAGTTTGGTGTAGTTGCCAGAAAAATAACTAGCTGTATAGTCAAAAAACAGTTGCTAAGTATAAATAAAATCACCAATGTGGTGACAAATCTTCAAGCCTGGCAACCATGTACCACACTGTGCGCTAAGTACCGTTTAAGTGATCGTTAGCTGCCACTTAACTAAGGACAGTTTAATCGGAGAATAATCCTCACTTTTCGTTGGTGCAACCGAAAATGTACCTTTAAGAATTGCTTAAAGTTAAGAAACGAATAAGTTATCCGTAAAGTCGTTGGTGAAATCGGCCATTAGTCTCCAAAAATAAAGTGGTGGGGGTATTAAAAAGTTTCCGTAAAAAACACCCTGTATCTTCGAAACGGCCGAGCTGATTTTAACAAACTTGAGCTAGTGGAAAAGAGCTACTCTTGGGCTACGAATGTTATGATACTTGAAGTTTTATTAATTTTACATGAGGCCGTTAGAGGGCTTTTTTCGACAGAAATGGTTAATTTTGTCAAAAAAATTAAATGAATTGGTATGATTTTTTTATAAAAATAATTATATTATATATTAGGTATCAAATTTTTCTTGAATTGTTTTTTGTTCGTCAGAATAAAATCACCCGTTTTGAAGATATTACAAAATATCGCTAAAAGGTAAGTAAAGCTAAAAACTAAAGGCATATTTTTGTTTAAATGCATATTCGCTAAAGGTATATACGAAAAAGACAATAATTAATAGACGCAAGCCATGGAACACTACAGAACAAATACGTAATCGTCAAATTATCAATAGTTGTCAATAGTTTCGCGTTACTTTGTGCTTACTAAATGCGTTTTACAAAGTACGAAGCTGTTGATATGTTTGATATATTTTGGTTGTCTTCAGAATGCCGCAGTAGCAAAGAGAGCTTACGCGACTCGATATCAAAATCGGCGTCTTTAGCATGTGAGAGTCCTTCCCCGATTAGTGGTGAACTCACGGGCCACTGGTAGTTTTCAACCTACGTTTGAACGACAAAGAATTGGATCAACACAAAATATTAACTGCGTACTGGGATATATTGAAAGAAATCCCCGTGTTAGCATAAGGGCATTATCGCTTGAGCTGGGCATATCACGAACAACGGTTCAAAATGTTTTGAAGGACCATAGGTAGTTCTACTGGCCATCAAAATATAGGGATTTATTCAAATTTAACTTTTTTCAATTACTGTCAGAATGCACCAATGACTTGTCGTTTTGCATCAGGCCTTGAAAGAGGAAGACTTAGATCGGAGGTTGGACTATTGCCATTGGATGTTAGGCATGATACCCGAAAATACAGAATTTTTATTTCAAATTCTTTGGCCCGATGAAGACACCTTTAGTAGTGACGGGAGAGTCAATCTGCACAATACGCATTATTGATCAGCAGAAAATCCGTGAATTGCGTAAAGTTCAGCACCAAGGGCGCTGGAGTTTAAATTTATAGTTTGGCATACTGAGAGACAGAATGGAAAAGTTAGTTTTTAATTCTTATATTTTATTTTATTTTTACGTAATATATGTGTGTATATATTATGTATGTCAGGAAGCAATCAAGCTCATTGTTTTGAAGCGTCTTTTGCTGCTTGTCAAAGTTTCCTTTCATTAAGTATTTCAATTTATTATTTGGGTAGGTTAAGTAGAGTAGCCAAGAGCTAGACTTTGCCTACGTAGGGGTCACATTATGTTGTAGTTTATGTAATGTTCCTAATAAAGACATTTTATTATTATTATTAATTATTGGGCTATACTTTTTCGAGCAATCCCTAAATGACAATGTCTTTCTTGACTTTTTGGACAATCAATTACCTTTGTTGTTGGAAGATGTGCCACTTGAAACACGGCAAAACGGGTTTTTGCAGTTGGACTTGCTATTATTGTGCGAGAGCATGTTAATGCAGTATTTGAGCAGGGGGGGATTAGAAGAGGAAGTCTGTTTCCATGACCTTCGCGATCACCAGACTTAACTTGTCTTGATTTTTATTTATGGGGACGGTTAAAGGACATCGTGTCTCAGACTCAACCTACAATCAGATTCGTAATGCATTACGTAACATACCGAGCGTCGAAATTGAAGCTGCAGTTTTGTCTATCCATGAGAGGCTTCAGGAATGCATAGAGCGTGATGGTCAGCATTACGAGCATCTACGGGGCATTAAAAACATTTCTTTTCTTAATCAACAACTTGATGATAAAAAGGAAATTCCAGAGGAATTAGTTTAAGAAAATGAAAACTTAAGGGATTTCCGCATACAATTTTCTTTGGCCTGAATTTCAGGTTAGGAACAAGATATCGAGATGCGGTTTTCGCGAGCTTGTTCAGACATCATTTAGCTACCTTTTCGTATTCATACTGATCCATTTAATCTTTTTGAGAAACTTAACCATTTATGTCGGAAAGTCGAAAAAGGCACTCTAGTGGCCACATGTGAAACTAACAAATCTTCAAGTATTATAAAATTTTTAGCCCAAAGTCTGTTAAAATCGGCTCAGCTGATCCGAAGATACACAGTGTTCTTTACGGAAACATTTGAATACCCCCCACCACTTCATTTTTAGAGATACAGCAAACATTGTCAAACAAAAAAGGTTCAGATTATCCTCGAATTTGAAGATCAGGAATTTTTTTGTAAAGTTAATATAGCGGAATTTAGAATCACATCAGTTTTTTAGATGCAAAATTGCAGTTACGCTCCCATGCGGCCATTTCAGAAACTTGAAAATATTTTCCAGGTTTTTCTTTTGTAAATTTTCTAAGTAAATGATAAAAATTTCAAAATGATTGCACTGCTTTAAAGCCCTTTGACCTTTAATAATGTGTGGATGCGCCCTGATGTGCTACGCATTCTCGAACGCGCCTAGGCATGCTTCTGATCAGGTGGTCAATGTCCTCCTGTGGTATCTCATTCCAGGCAACCACCAACTCCTTTCGAAGTGCTTCTAGAGTCTGAGGAGGACGTTACAAATTGAGCAATCTCCTACCCACCATATCCCACACGTGCTGAATTGGGGATAAGTCGGGAGATCTTGGTGGCCATGGTAACAATGTGACATCATTATGTTGAAAGAAGTCTATTGTGACCCTTGCAACATGTGGTCGGGCATTATCTTGTTGGAAAGTTGGATCTGCCAGGGTGTCAAGATAGGGTAAAAGATGGGGTTCTAGAACTTCGTGGATATAACGCTGCGCGTTCATGTTACCTCTGATGAAGATTAAAGGTGACCTGGAACCATAAGCTATAGCACCCCAAACCATAACTCCAACAGTGTGATGAACATGTCTTTCAACAAAAAACTGTGGATTCCTCCTTTCACCACGTCGCCTTGTAACCCTGGCACGACCATCGTGCATGCCTAAACAAAATCGAGACTCGTCACTAAAGACAATACTGTTCCATTCCTGATCCCAGAGTGACCGTTGTCTGCACCACTCAAGGCGATTACGTCGGTGTTCTCAAGTTAAAGGGAGGACCCAGTGTGGCCGGTATGAAAACAAGCCAAAACTTCTCATTCGTCGGTAAACACTTCGCATGCCAATAGGTCTTCCGTGTTCTGCAAACCATTCAATTGCAATGGACCTGGTAGTAGAGAAACAGTCCCTTAAGGCCAATAATCTTAGGCGGCGATCTTCACGGTCTGTTGTTCTACGGCGGCGTCCAGTGCCCCTTGCTCTTTGCGTACGGCCTTCTCGAAGCCATGCCTAACGACACCTAACCACAGTGTCTACACTTCTTTGCACTCTAACTGCAATTGCCCGAAAAGAAAGTCCAGCTTCCCGAAGTCCCACTATACGGCCCCTATCAAACTCACTAAGTTGACGAAATCGTACAGGTCTCCGTACTCTAGGCATCGTAACCGATCGTAAAGGATGTCAAGAACCAAAATCCGCCAACGTCGATTCTTTACTGCGGCTGAAATATTTATTTTTAGAGCGTTAGTGAATTAAAAGAAAAGCAGTATAAAAACCAGAATGTCCAACTGATAAGGCTGAACATTTTTTCACTTGTTATTTACAGTAAGATAAATACATTCACCAACTTTTATTAAAATAAAACCATTTAAACTGGGTGTTCGGATTTATATGTCACTTAGTATAGATACGGTGAATCCTACATCTCTACATATCAAGCTCAATAAAACAAATCTATAATATTTATGTTTACAAGGCAATATCTGCATCACACGCCCCAGTTTCTCATTTATGTCGGCTTGTCAGTCTGTGTCTGTTGTATATCAGTGCGTCATAAATACTGAGTCAATCTGCTTGATCAAATATTCAAATAATCATCATAGATGGAGTAATAGAAATTCAAGGTCGATTCGTCGCTGAAGATGACATTATCTCATTCTGCCTCCCAATGTTGCCGTTCTCTGCTCCAGTTCAAGCGTTGACAACAGTGGTCCGTAGTCAGAGGAGGCACTAACCGTGGACGGTATAAAAAAAAGTCCAAAAGCTCGCATGTGTCGATAGAGTGTACACAGTACGTAGTCTCTTAGGGCTAGTTATCTGAACCGCCTACCTTGACGCTCTGAGGTACGCCTCGGTGGACCAGTCAGCCTGCTTCGTGCTCCTCTACCTTGTTCTATCCACACACGACACACACGCATTACCGTATTCTACCCCTGTCAAAGTCGCTAACATGGTGATAATTTGGATGTCTTCGAACTCGAAGCATTTTAATATGCTCAACACTAGTGGATGAAAGCGCAATAACTAAAAATATATGCACTACGTAGCTCTCAGAAACTGCTGTTTTCACAAAAACTAAGAGATAACATTTTAACAAAGGTATACAAAAACAAAGAAAAAACGTTGACATTGCCACAGCATATTTTAAATATATCTAGTCATTATGTTGCCAAAAAACAAGCTAACAAGCTGAGGAAATTATTTTTTCTGGGTGTAATAGTGAGTATATTATATAAACAGTTAAGTGTTTAACTACAGGCATAGCAGAATGCTATAGTGCTATGCACTCCTAATATTCAAATATTGCTAAAATATATAAATATTTCTCCTGTAGCGGTTTGTCTGTTACGAAACCACTGCAGACCAGTTGGAGTTTTTTACCCATTGCTCCAGG